CATTTTGAAATGAAAAAATGATCTTAAATAGTTTATATATATTATGTAAAGACAAAGTCCAGGTCAGAGGGTGCAGCTCAAGTGGTGGAGTGCTTGCCTAGAAAGCACAAAGCCCTGAGTTCAAACCCTTAACTAGGTCACATCTACCTTATCGCCCTACCCTTGCCTGCCCACTATACTCTGCTGTTTGCTGCATCAAGCTCCTTCTGGTTTCAGGTCTCTACTCTTCTTTTTCTGACTCTAGGAGCCTTTGCTCTTGCTATTCCCACTGCTTTTAAATACTCCCACTTCTACCTATTCTTTAATTTTGAGTTGACATTGCTTCCTCCAAAAGTATTCAAAGTAATCCTTAATCCCTCCAGACTGGGTTAAATAGCCTCTTTTAGATGGTCCCAAAGCACCGTCTACAACATTTCCATATTATAAAAGTTAGAAAAATCTGATTACTTATTAGTATTCTTTAACTGGAGTTAAATGATGAGGCAGACACTATTTCTAGTTTGCTCACCATGTTTACCTATCAACAGGTCTCAATAAACATCTCTGAATGTTAGAGGAAAAGAGGAAGAGGGGGCATTTCAGAAGTGGAACCAAAAGAGGGCTCAATCTCAGCAGTTATCATTGTCCTTTGAAAGTTTGTTGGCTTGCTAACATACTTTTCTGAAATCCCTTACAAGTTTCATACAGTAATTTTCAAATTTACAATTCATTCGTAACTAGCTATTAATTTCCACTCCACTGAATTCTAGTTTTTTACTTACAAAACAAAAGACTTTTCCTAGAAATTGCTGCTGTCAGTAAATTATCATGTTTCAAAGTCTTTATTTTCCCTACCCTTCACCTGCCCATCCCTTCTATCATGAGCAAACATGCCAGTTCACTGAGAAGCCAGTGAAGACATCCTTTGGTAATAAATGAGTTAACAGACTTTCAGTTATTCTTAACCAAAGGTTTTCTCTGAACTACCATCAAAGTAAACTACATTTGCAGAAACCTTGGAACAAAACAATTCACCTGCAAAAGAAAAACTCATCAGACAAAAACAGGACTTCAACTTCCACCCACAGGAATAAGGTGAACAAATATGCTTTCAAAAGGTATGAAGTATTATAAAAATGTCAGGATTAATTACTTAAAGGCTAGATGGTAAAATGTCCAGCTATCTTTCCCAAGATTACATTATTTTTTAAAGAAATTTTTTGGAAACTGTTGCCATTACTACCACTTTAAACAGAATAATCCTATAATAGTAAAATATGATGATCTAAAACACTGAAAAAAGAAATGATCACTGAAAAACACTTATGAATTAACTGCTGACAAAAGACTGCTTCAAACCTCTCTTGGCTATTTTTGTGTATATCTTCTAAGTAGAAATCAAAAACCAGGTCTCAAGTGTGAGGCCGGGGTTCAAAATCCCAGCATCGCCAAAAATTAAAAGGTTAAAAACCAGGTCTCATAAAGCTGTTTCATAAGTTTTCAATATGCTGCAAAGTTCACGTTTCAGAAGTCTAGAAATAATTTTAGAAATGTGATTTCCAGTGTTATTCACATTCCTGGAATGCCTTTGACACAAAAGCCAAAAACATATATTTACTTTACCAAATTAATAAATTATATAAAAATACACCATTAATTAAACTCATCATTAGGCAAATTAAAGGACTTTAATAAAAAGTAAACATACCCATCAAACATGTAGAAGCAGCTTAAATTTTAATATATTAACTTTTAAATGTGTGGCTGCTCCCTCTTCACTAATATAATTATCACACTGGCTTAAACTCTAGGCAGTTTTATGTACTGGGCACCATACTAAGAAAACAACAGGCCTTATCTTATTTCATACCAAAAGAAAGCTCAATCTAGACACTACCACCATCCCTATTCTACAGAAGAAGAAACAGAAATGGAATTCTTTAACCTTAATTTATTTCCTAAAGAGAAAAGGAGAGGGTGTGGAGGAGGAAGAGTGAGGAAAAGAGAAAAACTGCTGGAGGAAGCCTCACCTCCTCACGACTTAATTCATCACTGTGTTTCCAGCTGTGATTCATTATTGGCTAAGGTGAGAAAGAGGTAAAGGGCAGATTTTTGCAGTCTTAAGTATTTTCAAATTTCCCCTACCAGGAAGTGTACACTCATTGTACATCACTATGAAAAGCAGAATTCTAAAGTAGTCACCAAAATTCCCATCTCCTGGTGCACATCCCCTATAATAATGCTCTCCCCTTGACTGTAGGCAGGACTGCGAATATGATGGATTTCACTCCCTTGGTTTTATATGACAAAAGTGAAGTTAAGTTGTCACTGTGTGAGAGGATGCAGTTACCTGGCAAAGATCTGAGATGGGCCCATCTGACATTAGCAAGAACATGGGTCCCAGGCTTAGTCACAAGGAAATGAATTCTGACATGAACTGTGAGCCTGCAAAAATACCCTGAGCCTCAGATGAGATCACAGCCCTGGCCAACTCTGATTTCAGCCTAGTACAATCCTGAACAGAGAACACAGTCAACCCATGCTCAGATGAGAGTAAATCTGCAGTGTTTTAAATCTCTAAATTCCTAGAAATTTGAAATAACCATTCCCTTACTCAAAAAAGTGTGAAACCCTAAGAAGTATGGCATTCAAGTCCTCTACAAAATCCTTTATTCCTTCTGAGACTTACCTCCTCATGTATTTATTTTCTGTTCCTCATCTACTGACCCCAGATAGCCCTCCTTCATACTCATTACACAGAACAGCCTTCTGGCCTACTCATCAAATCTCAGGCACCAAGTAATACGCCCATTTCTCCTCCTTCTTCTCACTTTGGACCAGCTGGCAGAAAGTGTCCCTTTCCCGCATTATCAACATTTCCTTCTTGCATACCAGTCCATTTTTGTCTTTGCTGAAATCCTACTTTCCTTTTCAGGATAAGTTCAAATACAACTGCTTTAAGAATTATTCTAATGGAAATAAATGAAGGCACAATCCAAGAGGACTTGAAATATTTATGCTATATAAAGGCAAGGCAAGTACTGGTGTTTTGTTCTAAAAAGTTAAAAGACTATTATTGCCTTACACAGAGAAACCGTTACCTTTAAGTCCTTACTATAACACTCTTAAAATAAGAAAACAAATTAAAAGCAGAAACATATACTGATAGCACTAAAAAAAAAAAAAAGACATCAGAAACTAGAGGAAATGAATTATAAAAACCAGATAGAAAAACTATGCAGTAATTTGCAAATAAAGCAGTAGGAGGCTTAATAGCCACTTAAGAGGGCGTTTTATTTCATCAGAGTACAACTAGAGTTCAAACTGTCTCTCCTTCGATATCCCCTTAATTACCCTAGTATCCTCAAATATCTTAGCTGTAAGGTGCCCATACTTAGCCTCATAATTTTTACAATCTGGTCTAATCCCCACTTAGTAACTGTGAAAACAGGGTTATGTCCTCTTTTTTCAGTATTCTAGGACATGGTAAGCATGGGTTAAATGTATTTTTTGATTTTCATTTCATTAGTAATACAAACTAAAGAGCATATGACCTTTTACCTTTACATTTTTACGTTCAGGCCTACAAAAAATGGAAAAAATTTTAGCATGAATGCTTGTATAGACATAGATAATATTTATCAAAGGTTAACATCATGATGTCATGTTTGTTCTCTCTCTCTCTGTCCGCCTCTCCACACACATACACACAAAGCCACCATGTTTCGCTGAACAATGTGAAAATGAGTTACAGAAAGCATAACACTTAATCCCTAAATACTGCATTCCAGTACATGTCTCCTATGAGTAAAGAAATTCTAACAAATCATACCATTATTATACCTGGGAAAGAGAAAAAACAATTCTGTAACAACTATCATAAAGATAAAACTGTTTTCCTATACATTACTACAGGACATAATCTCCACGTAATTTCAAAAAACAAAGTTTAGAATTTTAAAGAGTTTAATATAACACAGTACGTTTTATAAAATATTCTAAAGTATTTTTAACATTTCATATGAAAAAACATTACTAACATTAAAGCTGGTTCATTCTCCCCATGTTTAAATATACCTTAAATTACAAATATTATTCTCAACACTTGTTTTTTTCATTAATCTTTCAACAAATTTCATCCATTATGTTTACTGTAAATGTAGCTCAAACTACAACAAGATTTATTTTTGTTCCAAAATATACATTAATGATACTTTTAAAGTTTTTTAACAGGAAGTTTTTCATGATCAAAGATAACATATTAAAATATGCTTACTTAGTTAGGATTTGACTTTCTTTGTATGCTGCTTATTCCTGATTCAAGTGGATCAAAACGAAAAATGCAGTTTGCATGCAAAATGTGATGAAACTACTGTCTCTGAAATGCTTGACAAATTACTTCACCATGAGATTAACTGCCTTACAGCTGGCTTGTTAATCAAAGAATCAAAGGCCAAAAATGAATTTTAGTAATAAGGTCAATTAGCCTTAAATTATAATTAACTGAGATAGGAAAATTTAATCGGAAAAACAAAGAAACAGTTGATGCAAGGTATTTGATTACTAAAGTAATATCTCAATTATTAGAAGTACCAAAATGCTTAATAGTAATCAATTAAAATATCATGCTTTAATATACTCCTGGTTGTTCATGTCTCAACAGACCCACCAAACACACTTGCCGGAAGACAGACCTTAACTTTTTTTCTTTTTCATACTTGTCCCGAATTTAGAAAAATAATTTTTTCTCCCCCTTTTCCTCAATTATTGGCTTTATCTTTTTGCAAACTTGAAAATGTCAAGTAAGCAGTTATTAGGCTTATTTACAATATGCTCTTTTCTGAACCAGGAGTTCTACTTTTCAAGAGCTTGACATTATGTGACCTAAAAAAACTTCCAATATTCAATTATTTAAACATATGCAACAAATATATTTTTACAATAAATAAATTGAACTATTATGTGTAAGTTTGAGATCTATTCAGCAAACATCAATTGGTGAAGATAAAAGTTTTACTTACATTTGTAATAGCTAAAGCATTTTTATCATAATATTTCTTCTTTTCATATTTATCTCTGATGAAAAATTCTACTGCTCTGAAAACAGATAACTTAAGGAAAAGCATGAGTTCAATCACACGTATATTTCCTTTATTCATTCCTCTTTACAAAGCCTACACTCTAAATTTCCCATTTCCCAATCTGTACTTTCTCTCTTATAATATTTCTCCAACTAAGTTATGTAACCTGCTTTTCCTCCTCCTGAAGTCCACTTCTTTCAGGAACCATTCAACGAAAACCACCTCACCTAATTTCAGAAAGAAAACAATTTAGTACAATTCTTAGTTCCTCCACCACCACCACTACCATCACCACCCTCCCCTATCACCAAACTCTAATTCCAGCTGGTTTCGAGTTTCAATACTCACAATGTGCCAGACACTACATACTATACATTGTACGTTTTGTTTTCTTTAGTTTCTCTCACAAGCCAGTAATGTGCACATTATAATTTGTATACCGTAAATAAAGAATTAGCAACCGAAGGCTGGGCACGGTGGTTCAAGCCTCAGGGCAGAGGTTAGGAAGATCACAGTCCTAGGCCAGCCCAGGCAAAAAGTTAGTGAGACGCCCATCTCAACCAACAAGCTTGGGGTAGAGGTGCACATCTGCAGTTCCAGCTACACAGGAGGTACAGGCAGGAGAACCACAGTCCAGAAGCATCTCCCTGGGCAAAAATGGGAGACTATATCCAAAATATAACTAAAGCAAAAAAGGGTTGGGGTAGCATCTCAAGTGGCAGAGTGTCTTGCCTATCAAGCTTGAGGCACTGAGTTCAAAGCCCAGTAACACACACACACACACACACACACACACACACACAAAGAAAACAAAGCAACCTGGAAAGATTAAATAATTGATTCCAACATCAATGTTCTTTTTCACTATACGTGCTATATAATAAATGGGTGGGTAAGTCACGTAGGATTCCTTGTTTATTAGCAGAATAGTAGTCAATATTTTTCTTACAAAGTTAAGGAATGTAGAAGTACATAAAACTACTTCCACTTATAATAGAAACCTTTCAGAAATTATCTAACAAGTAAGCAATATAAGAAATTTTTTTTCAGGTCAAAGCTGATCTGCTTGATACACATCACTGACAGAAAATCAAAGGATTAGGACAGGAGAACTCACTAGGACCTTCCTAATTATTAACAGAAAACACAGTGTGGCTCAAGTGGCAGAGTGCCTACCTAGCAAGCACAAGTGTGAGGTTCAAACTGCAGTACTACTGAAAAGAAAAAAATCACAATTTATCCCAGGGGTCAGCAAACTTCCTCTTAAAAGGTCACATGATAAGAATTTTCAGCTTAGTACAACAGATACTATATATTTTAACTATTCAACCCTGCCTCTGTAGCTCCAAAGTGGCCATAGAAAATTCCATAAATAAATAGGCTTGGCTGAGTGCTGATGAAACTCATTTTCAAAAACAGGTAGCTTGTTCACAGGCCTATATTACTGCTTCCTCAATTCTATTCCAATTTCAGAGGGGAAAGAAGAGCCAATGGATGCATAGAGGGAATCTATCTGTCTACAAACTGTCATCATAGACAACTCTGAGAGCTTTCAAAGGAAATTCTGACTAATTCCCAAAGGATGGCCCAATGTACAGTCTCATTTGTGGTGCCAATAGGCACTTATTATTTAACTGGCAGTTATTGTGACTTTGAAGTTCACTAATCTACTGAACCCAAAACTATGTGAGTAAAAAAGGTAGGAACAGTTTTGGGAATGATATATGCAAAGCACTTAGTATAATACCTGACAAACTAAGCAATCATTAGCTTTTATTTTTACATAACTTTGTGCTTCAGTTTCATCAACTTAAAAAGGGGAATATTTATAGGATTTTTGTTAAGAATTAAAAAAGTACTAAGTAAGAACAGTGACTGGCACATAGTGCTATTTTAAGTTTTAGCTCTTATTATTAACAAAATGTTATTCTGATAGGCAAATCTTTTAAAAGATAAGGTTCATGGAAGGGGTAGGAAATAACTATGTTAAGGGTTAAGACAGCTTGCATATAATCAAGTTTAAACAAGTGAGTAAATGAGAAACAATTTGGTTATCAGGAAATATTTATCCTCATTTTCTGGTCTACAGATGCAATATGAGACATAAGGACTGAGTTATACAGAGTAGATCAAAACCCAATTGAAAAAACAAAAATAGGACAACAATATTCTCAGAGAATCAAGTGAAGGGACATACTGACAAAATTCAAGTTTAAATGGCTGATTTTGGATTTAGTAAACAAAAACATTAAAATATCACAGAATCTTCTCCATGTTCACAAAGCACTTAGTATGCACCCCTAAATATCTTTACTCCCAAATGGAAAAACTGATACTATCCAAACTCAGAAAAATTTTAACATTACTACGTGCTTTATCTTTTAACAAGGATTTGTATTTGAAGATTTTTTTCCCTTCTTTAAAGACACCATTTGAAAGACAATTAAATTAATATCTACTCCCAAAGAACAAAATCTTCCAGTTCCAGACACAGAACACGGACAGCAATAAAACTTTGAAAAGCTCAAAGGAGAAGAACTGCTGATAAGCTTTGGTGTACAATAGATCTCATGGAACTGAAGTAATTAAAGTTTTTAGATAAAACAGAATATCCTAATAATGAAAGTTTAATGTAAAGCTTTATCATGGTCACACACTAGCACACGCAGCCTATCATTAAGCACAACCCTCATGAGAAATTACACTTTCACAACAGCTTTTGTATAGCTTTGGTATTGTAAAGGTTTTAAAAAGCAGCTAATCTTGTTAAGAATGTAATGAAGGCCCATATTATATGAATTTAACTCAGTTTGGTTCACTTGCTTCAAGGGGTGATAGGTATTTATATCTATAAAAGTACAGAGATGTTAGGCTTTTCAAAGAGCCAGAAGCTTTAGAATGATGGATGGATGGATGGATGGCAGGTTGATTTATTTTCTTACTAATCTCCCTAATAAAACCTCCAAATCATAGGTTTCATAAACAAAAGAAGGACAAAAGTGTTTTTATAATAACTGAGGTGCTTTTTTTTTTTTTTTTTTATGAGACAGTTTTCACTATGTGGCCTAGGGTCATCTAAAACTCCTGGGCTCAAGAGATTCTCCCACGCAAGCCTCCCGAACAGCTAGAACTACAAAGCCTGGCTTTTTTTTTTTCCTTAGGGCTATTGTATTACATTTGATATGGTGGCTAATCTCATAGTCAAAGAGTTTTCATCTTTTACACTTAACGTTAGTAGTCATGTAACTCAAGTATGTTTAGACAAAGTCCCTCTTAAAACCGTTCCCAACAGCCATTAGATTATATTTTTTTGTGAACAACGAAAGATCAGCACCTCATACAAATATGATTGTAATTAGAACTTCTTTGGGAGAATGGTATTTAGATTGAAAAAACTAAATGTAAGCTTGAGCTAACAACAGCAAATACACACATAATCCAAGAGCCTAACATGAATCAAACCTGGTTCTGAAAAACTGAAAAGTTTACCCAGCTCTTAAGATTTAGTTGCAAAGAGTGTCAAACTATATAGTCCTATTTATTTTTAAAGGTCATCAAAACTCAATGTGGCAATGTTGATTTTACTCAGATTATCATCACTAAATAATACTGGAGTGCTGTTATATAGGAGCAAAGTCGGGAAGCTTTGGAAAGTTTGGGTAGCTCTCTGAGCAACCTACCATAAAAAGAAAAAAATATTATGCTCTATCTCATTAGGTTACTTTGAGAATTAAATGCCAAGCTCAGTGTTTGGCGTAGGGTTTACCCTATACGACTTACTACTTTACTTTAAATGGTTCTTTTCCTTATTTTATCTTTGTATATCAAGGTCAAAGATTTACTGATACCAGATTCTAACCAAGCCACTATAAAAATCTCTGGAATTTAGATACGCACCAAATATTTTTAAATGTATCAGACAACATATCAAAGCAACATACCCTCTCATTAATGCTTTATTTCTCTAAAGGTCATCATAAAATTAATGTATAATTACTTAAGAAACAGTATGCCTATCAACCTATACAAAATGGTAACTACCAGGATATATACATACATATATATATATAGAGAGAGAGACACACACATACGTACGTATACATGTATGTATATGTATATGTATATACATATATGTATGTATACGTATATGTGTACATATATACAGTTTTTCCCGAATATGCAGGATTATTTGAAAGCAACATGGAATCAAGGTGCTGGGTTAAACAACTTGGTACCATAAGAGAGATAAAAACCAAAACTTTCAAGAACCTTAAGTAATTTTCAAGAGAAACCCAAAATAACCCAAACCAACATAAAAACTATTCCTCCCCCACCAAAACAAAAATGGTGCTGGGCACCAGTGGCTCACTCCTGTAATAATAGCTACTTGGGAGGCTGAAATCAAAGAGGATGCAGTTCAAGGACACACCGAGCAGATACTTCATGAGGCCTCATCTCCAAAAAATAACCAGAGCAAAGCATGGCTCAAGCAGTAGAGTGCCTGCTTTTGCAAGTTCAAAGCCTCGAGTTCAAACTCCAGTTCCACCAAACAAAAAGCAAGGAGGATTCTTCAACTTAAGGGAACTGTCTTTTGTGAACTCAGGCTCATCAGCAGATAGCAGATAGAAGAATAAGTTAATATAATCAGGATACAGTTGGTAACAACCACCTAGGATACTGATTCATTTGCCTGTTTCCTTTTATCATGCTCTATTTCTCAGAGTTCTACCATAGGCCGTTACTTTTCATAGAAGGAAAAAGCACATAAAAAAGAGTAAGAGACTACTTACCACACTAGTTAAATATAACTTCACCCAACACTTTTCATCACCTACACATTAAGTGACTCTCCAATCTGCATTTCTGGCTGTGTTCTAGGGTCTAGACTCATATTTCCAAGTACCAAATGGGTAACTGTGTGTGTGTGTTTGGTGTGTGTGTGTGTGTGTTTGGTGTGTGTGTGTAACAGACACCTGCATATGCTCAAAGTAATGGAGCATGGTTTCTTACTTTTCATTTTTAAACCCTAAACTTCTACCTGATAATGAATTACTTCTCTCAATGAATAAGCTTTATATTCACCCAATCTGGAAACTCTGGGGTCATCTTAGTGTCTTCTTTAGAACTAAAGCCCATCTTAACCCAGTCCAACTGCTTCTGCATTCCCAGTTCCCCCTAGTTCCTTCCTGTCTATGCTCAATGCCACCATACAATTCAGAGCTTCATGACCGCTCATTTTGCCCTGTACTAATATTCTACATGGTTTCTGTCTGCTTTGGCATCTCCTACTTACTCTAACTAATCCTCCTTGCAGTAGAAGATACTTCTCTAATATTTCTCCTATTTCAAAATCCTTCATGGATTTTCAAACACTTCAATCCCCTGGGACAATGAAATGAGGTCCAAACTGCTCTAAGTGATACTGAAAACCCTTAATATGGACCAAAATACCTTTTGTCACTTACCCCACGAAACTAAAATTAGGTCATGTCAAAACCCTAAAAGTAATGTTTCCTCACAGCTGCATACTTTTGCTCAGACAATTTTATACCCAAAGTGTACCGTCCAATCTTATCCTAGGATCTTTCTATAACAAAAATCACATTGGATATCAGACTGCTAAATTTGTGAGAAGGGGTTGGGAGAATAGAAATAAAGAGGTCAAATGCAAATTACTAATTTTTCAATTATAACTTTGAAAGGTTCTATTCAAATAGGAAAATAAATATATAATGGCCTAAATCTCTATGTGAAGAAAGATCATCACCCCACCCCCACTGGGCACATGAATGAACTGTTTTATTATACAAATGGTTTGGCCTTGAAGAAGCTACCTATAATTGTCAGAACACAAATGTCATTATCTTTTGGACAAAATCCAAATACCTATAATTAATTAGATGACCTGTTTTCTCAAACTTCAGTGAATTTTAGAAATCCTATAGAATCAAATGATTTTATCTTTAACAAATGTGGAAACCATCTTGACTAAAATGTCTATGGGGAAACAAACTACTCAAAAAACACAGATTTGTAAAGCAAACACAGTTCTGTGCAATCTTAAAGGTGATCATAAATCCCCATGGAGATGACTTTAAAATACTCAAGATGCTCATAAATCAAATCTCTAGTAGCAGTCTAAAATAATAAACACCATGTACTTTCCTATCAAGAGATGGACATCAATCAAAAAGAATCACTCATAACATTTTAGACTTAATGATAATTATATATAAAAAAAAATCTCTATGTACTGTGGATCACCAAAATCCTATTAAAAACCTATCTATATAAAAAGCACAGCTCAGGAAAAATCAATTTCCATCTTTTTTTCTTTTCAGTGCTGGAGATCAAACCCAGGGCCTTGTCACGCTAGGCAAGGGTTCTCACACTGAGCTACATCCCCAGCCCTTGTTTTTTTTTTTGAGACTCGGTCTCACGGTGTAGCCCAGGCTTGCCTCACACTGGATCTTCCTGCCTCCGCTCCTAAGTACTGGGATTACAGATGTGCATCACCATACCCTGCATTTTCCATCTTTCATGAGAAATAGGGTGATAAAGTTTACATCTACCTAATACCAACAGATAAACTACTAATGGTGAAAATTAGTTAATTCTCTTAAAACACACGATTATACAAACTTAAAGGATACTGATCTGTCTGTGGTCTTCGAAAGTTCTCTGGAAGATTGGCTTCATAGAGTAGTCTTGCTTTAGTATTTCCCATGTCTTGCATGCACTGTAATAAAAAAAAGAAATCAAGTATTTTCATTACTCACATTACCATTAAAAAGTAACTCCTATACACACTACATACAAACATATAAACAAATCATGAGTAACATTTATTATTTCCAGCACATTCTTCCATGTAAAATAATAATTTAAATTGTAACTAAGAAATTAGTTATCCAAGTTCCAAACAGAAGCATTATTTTTAACTCTTCACATTTTCGAACATATGGAGAGCCACAGTTCTTTAAATGTCTTTTCTAAAACCACCCCACCTTCATACTTGGTACTTCCTGAAAGAGAAATTCTTGTGAGTTTGATGGATGTTTTATTACTTTTTAAAATACCACCTGAAACAACAAATGCTGCCATTTCCAGGCTAACAGCTCAAGATCAAATTTTCTTTGAGTTTCAATACACTCTAGGATTCTCCCAAGTTATAATCATGATACAATGGGAGCCAGAAAAAAAAAGAGATGTAACACTGACCTACTATTCTACAGAATTCGGTTGGTTTCTTTGGAGTTATTAATCCCTTTGAGATTTTGCTGAAATTGAGCCTAATAGCTCAATTTCATATACAAGTTCAGAAGAGCACAGAACCTTGAAGTGAATTGGATGAGTGTTCCCAAAGGTCCATGTGTTAAAGATTTGGTCCCCAGGATGGCACTATCATGAGGTAGTGGAACCTTTAGATGTGCCCAAGTGGGAGGTCCTTAGGGGTGTGTTATTTAAGGGGACTATCAGACCCCAGCCTCTCTTTTCTGTCTCATGATGTAAGTACTTTGCTCTGTCATGCGCTCCCCATAATTATCATCCAGCACCCCATCACTGGCCCAAAACAGGGTTGCCCAATCTTGGGCCAGAACCTCCAGAACTATGAGCTAAATAATCCTTCCTTCCTTATAAGTTAATTGCCTCCAGTATTTCATTATAGTAACATGAAGCTAATACAAACCTTCTACCTAAGATCTAAGAACTACTGCTCAGAAGATAAAAAACAATTTGATTATCATTTCAACCAGTTTAAGTTTTAATATCTGAGTGATGACTACACAGCACTTTCTTGATATTTTATTACAGTAGAAACTAAATGCAAGAATTATAAACAAAGTATAATATTATATTACATTATTTTCACAGAGCTTGAGCTCCTTAAAATATTTTAATTGGCAGAGAGATCAGTTTCTATAATTTTTCCCCTAATTTCCCACACACATAACCCCTACTCCTCTGAGAAAACAATCCAGATTGAACAGATTACCTGATGTTGACTTAGAATTGAAGTCCTAAAATGTACACAGAATCATCTTCCTTCAAATAAAAAATATAATGACTCTTCCCAATGGAGTGTTTTAAGGTGTATAAAATTCCAATACACACTAGTTTTTGGGCATATATTCCACTTTGCCTCAATATATAAATACTGTCTCAAAGTAAATTAGATTTCTAAGTCATTTCTCTATCTACAATGACAAAGTAAAAGAACAGAACAGTGGGAAGAAAAAGTAATTATAAACAGTGAAAGAATTAAGGATTTTTGTCATTTAGCCCTCAAAATGAAATAGAAACTATGTCAAAGTAACTTGGGAATTTAGAAGCACAGATAACAAGTTAATTATAAAGACATTAAACATTTGGAAAGAACTAGATTAAGAAAATGCCTCAGTTTACACAATGTCTGTTCACTGAAACTGTGAAGAGAAGAAAAATTTTTAAGTTTTTATCAGGCAAACGTACATAGAAATTTCAAGAGAAAAGTTAAGACTTAAAAACAGTATCTATTATATATACCATCTCATCAATCATCAGTTAACATTTTTTCATGTTTTGACATCTCTGAAGTAGGAATTGATGATATCTTATAAATGACAGATAAATTGTTATTCATCCATAAAATTAACGTGCTTCTTACAATCAGCAGTCATATAATTCAATGAATATGATTGTACGTGTTTATTTAATGTAGGCCATTAACATTTTGTTTTGGCAAAAAAATTAGAAACAAGAAATACAAATATTCATGCATAATTATATATGCATAAATATATATACCTTATACCATTGTACATCTACATTATACCACACAAAGCTATTAAACTGTTCTAGTGATGTGATCTGCCACATTTTGACAGTAGAGAAAATAACAGACATAAAGATCTGAAAGGGAGAGGTGATGTGAAGTAATGAAACATTTCTACAGTAGGCCATGCCAAAAGTGACTGGGTGCAGATGCATGTGTCTGTAACTAGGACTGTGGGAAAGAAGGACTCAGTGACATCACAGATATACACAGATCATTTTGTGAGGATAAGGAAGATACCTGTAAGCTTAGTTTTCTAGGTTTCCAAAAGTAGAATAGAGAAGGATGGGAGGGAGGTCAGAAGTGAAAGGATCAGAGGAGATAAGATGAAGAGCTAAATTTGGAGATGAGAAGGTAAGAAGTTTAAAAAAAGAAAGAAACAAACAAAGAGCTGGTATTTTGGGGAGGTGATGAGGAATATGGTACAAACCAGCAGTTCTCAAAGTTTTAAGACATTACAAATAAGAACACTATAAAACACTTAGGGAAATATACTTTACTGGTAAATTTCTGCCTGGTAACTGGCAAAAGAAAATATGTAAAGAATATAATTATAATGCTGAGCCAGGCACAATGGCTCACACCTACAATCCCAACTAGTTAGGAGGTAGAGATTGGGAGGAGCACACTTTCAGTGCAGTTTTGCAAAGTTAGTGAGACCCCCATCTTAACAAATGAGCTGGGTGTGGTAATGCATACCTACAATTTCAGCTACATGGGAGGCATAGGTAGGAGAATCACATTTGAGGCAGCCCAGCACAAAAAGAAGCAAGACTCTAACCCCACTTAGCAATCTATATACACTTTTTAAAATGAAGGACAGGACAGTAAAAGGTCCTGTCTAAGGGTGGGTACCAGTGGCCACTGGCAGAGGTGGGGAGGGCGGAGGTGGGTACCAGTGGCCACTGGTGGAGGAGAGTAAAAGGAGAGGGTGAAAGAGGGTAAATATGGTCTAAGTACTCTTTTTAATTGTATGAAAACAGGACAAAATGAAATCTGCTGAAATACTTCTAGGAAGGAAGAGATAGGGGATGAAGGAGAATGATGAAGGGGATGAATCTAATTTAAGCAAATGTGTAGACGTCACAATGAAACCCCCAGTACCACTAATATATGCTAATAAAAATGTTAAAATATGTATTTAAATATGTATGTATGTGTGCATATACATATATATGTATGTATGTATGTATGTACAAGGCCATATCTGAAAAATAACTAAAAGCAAAAAAGGGGCATGGCTCAAGTGACGGAGTACCTCCCTAGCAAGCATGAGGCCAGAAACTAAATAAATAATGTGGAGCAGTAGCCTCAATACTTTATATTTATATAAAGTACTCAATACAGTATATTTATATGTGTGGATCAATATGTATATATACAAAAAAATACATTTGCAACTTTAAATTGTGAAAACAACCTAGTACACTAATTTTGCAAGACAGGAAACTGATCTGCAAGATGTTAAGTAACCAGCCTTTGATTATCAGTCTTCCTGATTCAATTCCTGATAGAACCAACATAAGCCATCAGTGGTTTGGACAGTCCAGGCTTCATCTAATTCAAATGGGAAAAAGGGCTTGTAAACACTACACTCTGTGCTTCAAAAACTAGGTTTTCACTTTACAAGTTAGGAAATTGAGGCACAAAGAGGTTATATGACTATTCTGCTGGGTAAGACAATGAATCAGAGGCAGGGCTGAGGTTAGGATCCAGTTCTGTCACTCTCAATTCTATTTGATCACTAGTCAAAATACCTATCTAGGAAGTTTCACTTCAAGATGTAAGCATACTGGAAGGGTGGTCTCCATTACTAAAACATCATTCCTGTTATTAAAACATGATTCCTTTTTTTTTTTAACATTCTCTCATCCAAAGGCTTTAGCAAACATACTAAGACAAGGAGAACTTCAGTTGCTTATTCTTTGGCAGTTAATGATTCAATTTTTCAGAACTGGGGCAAGCAGACTAGTTGAAAAGGTGTGTGTGGCAGGGAGTGGCAAATGTTTCTCTTAAAAAAAAGAGTAAGGTTTGTACCTTAAGATTTGCAACTGGTAGGAGATTTAAGTTGTGGGTAATGAATAAGCTATCTTAACTATCATCATCTAGTTTCTGGGAATCAAGCCAGGTCCAAAGTATTAAACACCATTCTGGAAAAGAAATTTTCAGACCTGTTTCTACCTCTCCAGTAGGAGGAATGCTTGTAAGGTTATCAAATAACCTATTTAAAAGTCCAAATATATTAGGAGTTTTGAAGATTCTCTAGCTTTAGTGAAGTCATGTTATTCTCTCAGCAGAGAAAGTTCCCTCCCACCTCAACTATGAGCAAGGGAAGTGAAGATCCTCAATTATTTAACCCAAAATTTCCATTTGTTTTAAAATCTCTTTAAAAACCATTTGCTTAGCAAGCTATAGTTCATTCCAAAATTTAGATTTTTAAAAACCACAAAAATGCATCCACATATCCACTGAGTAGAAAATGTATCAATATTCTTAACAAAGAAAAAACTGGTTGGAAGACTGTATTAAATACAAAGCCAATATTTGCTTTTACTTTGAGAAAAACATACTAGTACACTGAGGAATAAGGGAACTAGGTACTACATAGTTTTTTTTAAATGCCAGTAAGGCAGAACATATTTTTTAAATTAGTGTTATTTACTTTCCTCATTAAATTTAGTCTGTTCTTGAGGCTAGGGATGACAGCTTCATGGTAGAGCACTCGCCTACCATGCACAAGAGCCCTGGAGTTCAATTCCTAACTGCACACACACAAAAATATGCTCTCACTTAATACATCTTATTTTTCTAGAAAGATGAATTTTGTACCATACTTTTTTATTGAATCGTCTCCCAAAATTATCACCGTAATTATGAAGGAAGGCTTTCTTTACCTATAAATGGTATAATAAATACTTAAGAATTCCAAAACCTATTATTAAAATAATGCAGTCTTTTTCAAGCCATAATCTATTTGGTTTTAGCTTCTCTACGTAATCTGTAACTCAGTAGAAAGACATCAGCTGACATTTAATTTCAAAAAAAATACTACTTTGGGGGTTGAGGGGGAGAAACAATGGGGGCAATGTAAATAACATATAATATAAGTCTAATCAGAATTGTCACTAAGAATTTGCCCACACCCCATATAATGAGTACATGCTAAATAAAAATTTATTTTAAAAATACTATTTTAATTGACTAGCTAAAAAACATCTACAGCCTAACATATTGTTATCACAGTGTAGATTAAAATTTTCTGTTTCTCAAATTGCCTATGTACAAAATACTTTATCCAATCCTAGTTTTAGCATTAAAAACAAAACCTACATTCTAAAGCAGTTCTAAGTTTTCAAAGTTTTACAGAATGTAAAGAACTGAGGTTGCAATTTAAAGGTTGAATCTACCTGTTTATTTGTCAATTCAATAAAACTAAAACAAAAAATAGCTAAACAAAATTAACAAATACAACAAAAAGTGGTAACAGACAAAAAGGAAATAAGCAGAATCAATAAGTAGACAAACAAATGTTATAGGAAAGTTTATTTATTTTATATAATAGTACTGTGTTTTATACATGAGTGTATATATACATATCTACAGATATGTATATATGTGTGTGTGTATGTATGTATGTGTGAGTATATATATATATATATATATATATATATGATCGGATTTGTATCTGGAAGATATCTTCAGTGACCAAATGGCAATCAAGCAGCAAACACAAAGTTTTACTGAAATCAGATCACTGGATTAAATGTGTGAAGAAGAAAGTTAAGAGGAACACACAGAAATAAAAATGCCCAAGTTTAAGTCACTGTCAGTACCTAAAAACAAATTAATAAACATAATAAAATGACCAGATGAATGAGAAGTTAATGGTTAATGCCCTGAAGATAAAATTTAATTTTTTTCTTTGTTTTAATATTCCAGAGTCATGAAAAGCAGAACTAAGAGATAAAAGTATTTCAAGATATGATTTCTATTTGTCCTAACTCAAGTAAAGCCAAATGCAGTTCGTCCAGGCTCGGTGGTAAGTCTAATACATGTGATTCGGGGCTTCTCTTTTTATAGCTCTCCTTTTTCTCAGTGCCTTCCTCCTATCTGTCCCTGTAATGTTCCCTGGCCTTTATCGCTCAGATGCTAAGAAGTCAATCTGGTCAACACCATTAACCATAAAAGTAACATTCATCATATTGTGTTATTTCTGGAAGCTATCTATAGTTTTCACAAATGTTGTGTATATACTTACTTGCCCTTTGGGGTTTATTGGTTTTTTAAAACTGAGATAAGTGTAAAAAATTATACAACAGTAGGTACTGCAAATGACTAGATGGCAATTAGGTCTTCTAGATTTCCAATGGGAAAAACGTAAGGCATTAAAAAAATCAATAGACTCTTAAACATTAGTGCTTAATAGAAAGATGAGGCATATCTACAACAAATCTAGAACAAGGGAAGTAAACTATTTAAAAGAAAACTCTCCTACTCAATTTTTTTGAGGAATAGATTGGGAGAAAGAAGACTCTAATCTCCAGGACAAAAGACTTTTGTATAAGGACATAAAAATGTATAGCATCATATTTGTATATCTAAGCATAAAATACTTCAGGAAGACTACAAAAGAAACTGATAAATATGGTTGCTTCTATGGAGGAAAACTGGATGACTTAGGGCAGAAATGAGAGGAGAGTATTTTGTACTCTTAAAGGTTTACACAATGTCCATGTTATTTTCCATTCTCAAAAACCAAATAAAATAATTAAGGGAGGCTATATTCATCCTACATTGCACCTAAAGAAAATAGTATCTAGAGGGGGCTTGGGTGGGGTATGCAAGGAGGATCTCAATCAGAGGTAGGAGAATTTCTCCTACTGAGGAAAATAGCATTCTTACGGATCAAAATAGTTGTGAATCAAATAAAAGGTAGACATTTTATAAAGGCTCATCCAAGCAGATCTCATACTCAAAATACATTCAAATCATAAATGTGGTATTTATTTACCATACCTTTCCCTAGTAACATCATCTTAAAGAAACACTATGACTACTGAAGACTGAGAGCTTCTTTAAATTTTAGTGTACTTGGGTAAGAGGGGCGAAGCTACTTGTCCTATTATTTTCTATTCATTAAAATCTTTAAAAACACGAAGACTAAACTTTTTTCAACTGCCTTAGCTAAATGTTTTCTTTTTTAACTCTATGTAAAAGAGAAGTGAACACTGGTAGTCCCTGGGTAAATTCTTCATGTCAGTAGACTCACCTCTACTACCACTTGAAATTTTCCAGATAGTTCTCTATCTTCCTCTCAAAAGCCAACAGGATTTCTTGCATAGGAGCAAGCCTTTCAGGACTGGTTTCAAGATCTTTTGGATTCCAGCTGCTGGAAAAGAAGGACCACCATTTTTGGTCTCAGGAACTCTTTGGAAATATTTAACACAGAGTCCATTCCTTCAGTTTCATGAAACTATTTTTAGGGAGAGTTGTTCTCTTTCTATTTGAATTTGTTGCTATAAATTCATGGTATACATTCTTTAAAAAAGCAATCAAATTAAACATTGTTACAACAAAACTGGAAAAGCTTCATATCACACTCTTGTATCATCTCTACTTACTACGAAATTCATACCACTTGAAGTCCAAGAATAAACCACAACTTTCATCCTATGTGCTTAAGGTCTGCTCAGGAATGATCCTATACTCTTCCTTCTGCCAGAAGTTTTAGTGATTTTTATCTCCTCAATATTTCTTATAGACTTCCCCTGTTTATCCATCCCATCACAACCTCCATAGTTTAGGACAGAGTCACCAACTTCCTAGGCTATTGCACAAAAAAAGGTCCGTATTTTCTTAAAAGGAACATCAGACATTATTCTAAAAATTTAAGAGTTCCCTACTCTGCTCCCGTCTCCACCCCCTAGGATGTTGATCATAGGATCAACATGAAACCAATGCCACCTATAACTTTCACCTTCATCTTCTGTGACACACATATCCCCAATTCATGCTGTGTCTGAGAGAGTAAGGCCCATCTTTCTACCCAAAAGACCCTCTGCACACTGCAGTATGCTTTGAGTAATTCATAAAGTTTACTACAAGAAGAGTAATGAAATATTTTTAAGGGTTAACAACTTACCATATGACTAAATGCTGCATTGTTTTTTAAAAGAAGAAGCCACTACTAAGTTAATGACTTGCTGAAGATCACTCACCATTTAGTTATTACAGCCAGCACTAGAACTCAGTTACAGTCCTGCCGTAAGAGTCACACAAAGCAGGGAGGATAGTGACTACAGGCCTACAATACTATGCTCAATGAAACTAATAATGGTTTACAGATGATCCACTCATACACGTATTTCACATCTAACAATTTCTTGCCAAATATACTCTTTATGGAGATTTAAGGCCTTATCTTCAAATAACTTGCTATTTTTTTTTAGTTATTCTATCTCATCTCTGCCTACATTAGGCAGTATAGATTTAATAGAATTAAATTAAGACTTCTTTTAAGAAATATCTTACAATTCTTTTCCATACTTTGGCCCAAGAACTATGGCAGTTACTAGGAACTGAGGATTCTAAAATACATCCCTTTAAAAAAAACTGTTACTGGCCTTATTAAAAATTTAATCTTAGAAAATGGGGGAAAAAGAAAATATAGGGTATAACCTTACAAATTCAAATTCAAAATTTATGTGACTTTTTTCCAAACGGATTGCTTTAAAGTGTAAGGCTCTTGTTAAACTTCACAGACTTAATTTTGTTATGATCAGTATCCCATTTATTTCTTTATTTCACTTTTCATAGGTACATAATACATAAATCCAATGCTGTAGGTTGCCTTCACTTTGCTCTTCTTTGGAGACACATTTAGTGATCCTGACAAGGATTCATCATAAATAGAATCTCAATCAAGTTAAACATATACATAAGGCCATGATTTGAGAAATTTTTTCAACTTGATGGAATTATAATTACCAATCATCCCACAAAATAACAAAAAAAGCTTTGATCTGGTATTTCTTAAATGTGTACTAAGAATTATGTACTGAAAGCTTATTATGGTGCTTCATTCTACAAGGCACTATGAAAATTTATCTAAGGGCCAAAGCCTTAAAGACCTACAGGTCAAATGTTAAATCACAGCGTTCTCCAAATGAGCTTTCTTAACAGTGATTTTATTCTACTAAATATTGCTTCTCATAAGAATTTTGTAATAGCAGAGACAGTCTTTGAACTTCCTAGAATCTCTTCATTAAAAAAAAAAAATAGAAAGAAGACTGGAGCTGTGGCTCAAGTGGAAGAGCATTTGCTTAACAAGTGGAAGGTCCTGAGCTCAAGCTCCAGTATCACCAAGAAGAAAAATGAAGAAAAAGAAACACTAGATAGAAAAACTAAATACCCTCAGACAATATTTACAACAAAACTAGGTGACTGATTATCCCTCAAACCCTAAATGCCATCAGACAGAAATAAACCACTAACAAGCACTAAGACCTGCCTGATGCCAGCAATTATTAATGAAGAATCTGATGGACATGAGAACAGAACAATGTAAGTAAGAGACACATGACCTTGAAATCTCAATGAGCTAATCCGAGTAATGCACATGATATTGAAAAGAGTTTTTACCTAGTCCAGTAGCAAGTAAGTACAAAGGCTCCTTAAGTTTGTAATGTGTAGAAAGAGTCTTAGTCCTGTGAACTCTCATGACCAAACACCAAGTCTCTGTTCCAGGATAAGGAGCCAAAAACAGAAGAAATTCCTAAGAACTAACTGAAAATTGAGCAGGGCAGGAATAACTGAGGTACAGGAAGAAAAGATTCAGATAAAAATGAGAAAACGGAACAGAGAAAAAGTCTCAGAAAGTAAGTAGTCTTATTTTTAAATATTACATGAAAATGAAGGACAGAGATCTGTGAAGTTAAAAAGACTATCATAATACCACTTATTTCTAAAAGTAAAGGAAAACTAATGTTACATAAAAATGGTCCAAAGGAAAAAAAAAATCAAGGTCTAATCTCAAAGGAAATTATTATAAGAAAAAAACAAAGAATAAGAAGTAAAATAACATCTCTACAATAAAACCACACCAGATGAAAAAAATATGCCCACAAAACAGATCAAAATTGTAATCTACTAATTCAGGGCAAATTTTAAAAGATCACATATAACTAAGTAAGAGACAAATGTAAGTTATGAAAGAACAACTGAGAAATTAGAAAATTAGAAACATCCAAAATTAAAATGACAAACTCAGGGAAGTATTAGAAGTAAAAGAAAATGGAGGGGATGAATTCAACTATATATTTTAAGAGCTTTGGTAAATTTCACAATGTACCCCTGGTACAACAATAATAAAAAATAAAATTCTGTGAAAAAAGAAAATATACTTCATAAATATATATTAAATAAGATGGAACCTGGCAACAAATAATGGCCCAAAAAATGGAGAGGCAAAAGAAGAAATTTAAATATTTTCAAATTTAATTTAAAGAGTAATGGAAAAGATTTTTTAAAAGTTTATCGTTACTTAACCTAAAACATTCTATGACAGAGAGTCTGAGAAAAAAACTTGCTTAAAAAAGGCCAGGTGCCAGTAGCTCATATCTGTAATCCTACCTACTTGGGAGACAGAGATTGGGAGGATCACAGTTCAAGGCTAGCCCAGGCAAACAATTTGCAAGATCCAATCTCAACCGGTAAAAGCTGGGCATGGTGAAGCATACCTGTCGTCCCAGCTACTCAGGAAGCATTAATAGGAGGACCGAAGTCCAGGCCAGCCTAGTCATAAATGTGAGACTCTATTTTAAAAATATCTAAAGTAAAAAGGGCAATGGTAGAGTGCCTGCCTGACAAGCAAAGGGCCCTGAGTTCAAAGTTCCAGAACCAAAAAAAAAAAAAGAAAAACAAAACTTGTTTAATATATATAGCTTTCATCTCCTACATCTTATAAACCTTTACATTCCAATTTTATCACTGATAATAGCTACAACTTGGCCACTAACATAAGTGCTCACAATTTTAGCTGCTTTTTTTTAGCTGCAGTGAATTACTTGTTATCGATCAGATATTCTCTTGCCTAGTCTCACTATATTTGGCTTGATGAGGAATTCAAATTAAGGCCATAGAAAACAACAAAGTTATTGATAAAGACTGCCAAAACCCCACAATTTTGACTTCCACAAGAACAATTCTTTTCCCCTACAAAAGATCCAAGATTGGAATTAAGTTAAGCAAGTTGCTTGAGGTGTGGCTCTAGTAGCAGAGCACCTGCCTAGCAAGAGTGAGACCCTGAGTTCAAACCTCTGTACTAAAAAAAAAAGGTATATAAATAAATAAATAAGTTAAAAAGACAAGTAAATCAATACTATGGCATAGCTATTGCTAAGTTAAGCTAAAGGCTACCAAGTTATTTCATAGTTTTCATAGGCTTTACTAGGAATAACTAGGTTATAATAGAAATCTATATCCCTATGGCTACAGATTTTTTCCTTTATAATAGAAAATATAAACAGCAAACATACATGGTCAAAAACATTTTTCAGATTCAGGAAGAATATTTGTCTTTCACATTCAACCTGAGAATCTTGTCACATTCTTTGAAACAATCTAAGAATACAGAAAAAAAATTTTATCAGTTTTACATTTACTTACCTGTGTATACATTATTTGGACCACCTCCTCCCCTCCCCTGCTTCCAGGTGAGTATAGAAAAATTTTATCCACTGAGGTTGAACTACTTTTGAGAAAAATGGAATCACATCACTACCAGGGATATTTAAACTTTTATTCAAAGGCTGATAATGAAAGTGTTTTTAAACTGCTATAGTAACCAAAGAGGACTGAGCATACAATCAAAGAATCTCAGGAATGGGACTTTCAGAGTCATCTAAACTAATCTCCACCTGTCCACTAATGCTTAAATCTCAACAACACGTTTCTAAATGGTAGTCCAGCTCTTTACAAACCATTCAGGAGTGATAACTCACTACCTTCTAAGACAATCAATTTCTCTGGATGATCTGAAATTCAGAAAAATACTCCCTTTGTAGTACTTAAATATGTTATATGGGAACTTCTACACACTAGTTGTACACTCCCTGTGGCTGCTATATTTTCAGAATCTTAAACGTATACACGACTACAAAGACAAAAAGAGATCTAGAAATGAAAAACACTATATAAACAATAAGGTAATTTTATGGAAAATGCTTTATTTTCTTTTTCTTCATTCCCCCTTCATTGCTGAACCCATATTTTCACAGGATTTTATCAAACCAAACATTAATCTCATAATACCATTAAAAATTAAGTACTTACTCTATTCCTACCAATGCGGTAACCATTGCAAGGACTACAAAGACTAACCTCATGGAACTTACTTGTTAGATAAACGACACAGACAATACTAAATACCAACAAATGGTAGTATATAATTAAACACAAATTAGACATGAAGGCTTCATTACAGTAGGCATTAAAGAATGGGAAGGATTTTTAGCTTGCCAAAATACATTTCCAAAAAGATCAGCTAAAACAAAACAAAAGCAAACAATAAAAACAAGAACATATCCTAATATTCTTTTTAAAAGGAAGTGCTGTCTCAACACAGTCAAAGCTATCTGCTATACAGTATCCAGAGTAAGGCAAAGGACAGGAATGAGCCTGCAGGCAGAGGAACTTCACCAATTTAAGGAAAATAAAACTTTTACAATTCTAATAGGAGAAGAACCAATGTAAATCTCTAAAATATATTGTAAGCACTTTTGTAAATGTCACAATGTACCCCCAGTACAACAGTATTATAATTTTAAAAAAGAAGAATAAAATGACAAGAGCAACAAAGTAGCAAGATTATTCTAAATGTGTTATATAAAACAGAGAGCTAACAGTGATGAGAACATCAGGAATAAGCTAATGCCCTGGACAGAGTGAGAGAAATGGAAATGGAAAGCAGCAGAAGCAACAAAAGAATTAAGAACTGACTGACTACAAAGACTAAGGAGTGGTTAAGAACTATAAAACATAACCAGGTTTTAAGATTAATGGAACAATGACATTAAGAAAGCCAATCTAGAAATCACATCATTATTTTATTATCAGATTTGTCAAACTGTAATAAAGACATCAATCTTAATATTTATAAATGTTACACATTAGGAACTATCACTACAATCGTCAAAATTTCTCACTTTCAGATACTGAAACAATTTCATAAATCAATTTTTCTTGCTTCCATATGGAACATAATTTAGTTGGCAACGGTACAAAGCAACAGTGAATTTTAATACTTCATTCTTTATTCCACCTAATTCATCATGTCTGGGAAAAAAAATCCACACTGGTCACAGTTATTCCATTCTCTTAACTTCTGTCATTTCATTAATAGCCAGCCTTCTTTGCAAAGCATTTTTCATAAAGAATATTTTTAATTATTTTACAAGAGTTACTAAGTATACAAAGATAAGTAGAAAATATAAATATCCATAGGGATTCCAATGCTATGAAATCATCCTAACTAGCTAATTCCAACCTTAGAGCATACACAATTAAACTGGATAGTAGGGAAAATTACCAGTTACTTTGTGCCAAGGACAGCCAACATTTCTTAAGAATGATAAACCTATAAACAACAAAGATTTCTGAAAACAGGACTACAAGTCATTGTTGTACTGGAAAGAAAGAACCATGTGCACACAAAAGTAACAACTGAATCCATGACACTAAAATGAGTTTTGCTATGGAGAAAGATAAAAATAAAAATAAAAGTACTAAAGACAATACATAGAAAAATTACCCTCCCTAGAGGTCAAGAATCCTGTGAAGATTACACAGGTCTAACTCTGGCACTCTGACTTAAGAGACAAACTTCTTAAATACTTTGTTCTGCTGTCTCTCTGGAATCAGTTGCCTTGAAATTGTGCTCTTGGGCAGATGCAATGCCTTGCACCTGTAATTCCAGATACTTGAGAGGCAAAGATAGGAGGATCACAGTTTGAGGCCATCCTGGGAAAAAAGTTAATGAGATCCTCAAAGAACAAGCCAGGCATGGTAGCTGATACCTGCAATCCCATCCAATTACTTGTTTATAGTTCATCATCTTATAACAATTTTAAATAACAGCTCTAACTTTGCTTGCAAATATAAGGTCCACCACAAAATTACTGGATGGCCCACCTGTCTGTGATGTTTTTAAAGTAAAACTTTATCACTTATCATTTGATTTCTGAATACTTCCTAACCTTATTTCTCATCATGGCATACCTGGAAGAGAGGCTCTATGGAATACGAAGCCAGGCAGAGCATTCTCTGGTGCTAAGCACTAATAATAAAAGTCTTACATTCCAAACTAATTCTTATTTCAAGAAACTGACAGCTAAAACCAAACAAATAATGTTCAAATACTGTACAATACTTGTTTTTAAAATTCTTACACATTTAATAATTCAGTATTTTGTCATGTACCTAATTAACCTATTTCACAGAAAATCAATGAACTGCTGTACTGATTGAGAAATCCTGGTCTAAGCTATACAGCTACGCACCTCAACGAATCTCTATTTAACTCCTCCCTTAATTGACAAAAACACTATTTCCAGAGAACTGAATTGTCCAGGGATTCCACTGCTTATCCTTAGCTTAAAATAAGTCATTAAAAAGACTACACACTTTTGTCTTCAATATTTTGTATATCTATTACCCATTACAAACATCAAGATATATTTTTTCAAGCTACACCTCACATTTTCTTGAGAAAGACAAGAAACGTCATGACATCTGTTACCACATTTGCTATAGCGCTATTAAGAATATCACCTTGTATGAAGTGTTCGAAAGCTCTCCTTCTTTGACATAACTAGTATGTTTTCCCTTCTAGGATCCTGAAAATACACAAAGGATCATATTTCCTTTTATGCTCTTGTCAGCAAAAAGCTCAAAATCTAATTTAAGGCAGAAGTATTTGCTTTACAGCTTAAAAATCTCTTATTTTCTTCCTTCTACCCTTACCTTACCTCGACCATTTACTTTGTGCTTTATTCTGATTCTGGAGTAGGTATGCTGATCACTGAGGTTCAATCACAGGTGGCTGACTCTCTACATGTTTGGTTCTGTATCTGTGGATTCAACCAACTACAGATTAAAAATATGAGGGAAAAAACTGTATCTGTGCTGAACATGTACACACTTTTTCTTGTCAGTATTCTCTCAAGAAAATAGTGTAACAAATGTTTGTATAGCATTTATATTATATTCAATATTATAATAGTCTAGGGAAGATTTAAAAGGATACAAAACAAAGAATATGCTAAGGTTATATGCAAATGTTATGTCATTTTATAAAAGGCATTGGACCACCCCTGGATATTGGTATCTGCCAAGGGTTCTAGAAATAATCCTTTTAGATACCAAGGGATGATGTTATATTTATGTATTTACACTGGCTAGAAGCAATTTCAAAACGGCATAAGAAAAAATACTGTAATTTTATTGTGAATTACAAAGACCACTAAAAGTCATAATTTCTAAACTTGCATCTAACTTAAGGATTAGAATATAAGATTATGACGATTTAAGGCTATCATAATCGAAAATTGGCCAACTCTTAAAACTACAAATTTATCTCTAAATAAGCCCAACTTGGTCCTAAAAACATTTGCTCAGTAGACTATCTTTGGCTACTAGACCCTGTCTGAATTTCAGGAACACCTCTGTTGGGCTGGAGGCCATGGCTCAAGTGGTAGAGCACCTGCTTAGCAAGTACAAGGCCCTAAGTTCAAACCCCATTATTGCCAAAACAAACAAAAAAACCCACCTCTGGGAAAGAAGGAAAATTCTTCAAGTCAGTTTTAGGCAAGCAGTGATTTTATTCTTTATTTACCCATGCTCCCTCTACTGGCAGAAAAATAAACTATAAAATTATAATGACACATTTCATCAACACAAGAAGAAATACTTTTCAAAACTTTGAAATCGGGCTGGGATGTAGCTCGGTGGTACAGCGCTTGCCTAGCATGCGTGAGGCCCTGGGTTCGATCCCAGCACCAAAAAAGAAAAGACAAAAAAAAAAAAAAAAAAACTTTGAAATCATTATTTTAGATTTAAAAAAAGACTTAAAATTGACTTTACTACAACCACAAGAAGAAATAAATGTCTGAATTAACAAAAGAAATAGCATTCAAATTTTGTATGCGGCATATTCCATTGTGGTATGTACTTCTTTTCAAAGCTAATCCCAGACATGAGAAGGGTTAAAATTTTTTAAATTATCTTAAATATTTTAATAATTTGTCAAGGTGACATTTACCTGAATCTGTTCTGGTGTCCATTGGTCTAGGTTGACTGACTTGACCCTGGATATATGAACCCCAAGATTTCTATGAATTCCAGCACATCTGATACAAATAAACACACCAATATTCCAGGAAGCCCATCGGGGACCTAATTAAGGAAAAGAAGCAAAGAAAAATGTATTAAAAACTAAAATAGTCAAGCACCGTGGTTCATACCTGTAATCCCAGCCACTTAGGAGGTTGGAGGATTAGGAGGCTCACAGTTCAAGGTCCATCCAGGCAAACAGTTCTAGAAATCCCATCTCAATCAACAAGCTGAATGTGGTGGTACATGTCTGTCATACCAGTTACAAGGGAAGCATAAATAGGACGATAGAAGTCCAGAAGGCCTCCAAACAAAAACTCAAGACCCTATGAGCAAAATAACTAAAGCAAAAGGCACTAGTGAAATGGCTCAAGTGGTAGAGTCCCCGAAGCCTTGAGTTCAACCCCATCACTGCCCAAAAACCCCAAAACCCTAAAATAAACACAATGAGAGCATATTAGAAGCATTCTGAGTTTTGTTATACAATTATAAGGGAAGCTTAGAAAACTCACACACTCAACTATTCAGTGGTACTAGCAGCATGCTAAGACGACATATGTCTTGACTGCACTGTTGACTGTACTGTACTTCTTTTAAGAAATGTCTGCACTTAGACCAATTTATAATACAGCAATGTTCTGAAGCTTATACAGAAATCTAAGATAAATAATTAAAATACCCTAAAGGTATTTAGCTAAGGGTTAAGCACTGTTAGTTAAAACTCACTGAAGAAAAATGATAAGTTTCACATTAAATCTTTGTTGTAAGCCCTCCTTAGTGTTTTTCTCTTTTAAATAACTGAAGCTGTCAAGTGAGCAGTTCAACTGCTTGACTGAAAGCTGTCAGACCCTGCACTTGTTTTCTACTGCTGGTGAGTAGAAAACTCAGTGACTATACCAGAGGAAGAGATAGAATATGGATGGGTAGTCACTGCTTATTACCTCTCCGTTTCCTAAATCCAGGAGGCTGTGAATGATATTGCTGCCACTACTGAAGATCTGTAAGTGCAGCAGCAACTTCAACTTCAGTCCTGACATTTTTGTGAAACTATGGAAGCTGTCAATGAAGCAGCTGCTTCTTCCAGGATTCCCTGAGCTAAAGCTGTGAATGCTTTAAACATTTCACAGCTTCTTGAAGAGGCTCCATCCAGCTACTTATACATGGAAGAGGTTCAAACCAGCCGCAAACAGCCCAAGAGACTTAGTTCCAGTCATGGGAACCACCACAACTGGCATGGCTGCCACTGAATCTGCAGGAGACTTTGCTTCAATCACTGCCACTTCAGTTACCCTGCAACAACTATGAAGACTTCACCTTGGCAATGACAGCTTCAGATGACCTTAAATGTGCTCATCCACAGCTACTCCAGCCATCTGCAGCTGTCTTCAATCTGGTCAGGGAGAAGTACCTCCCCTGACTGTAACAGGTGGGGCGGGCAGGCAGGCAGGCCTAATGTGCCCGCTCAACTAAACAAAAAGTTTGTAGTTAGCAGACAGGAGGCTGTGCACATGAGTGACTTGCCTATACAAGTAGTCCTCCTCTCACTCTCCTTGCAGCAGTCCACAAGACTGGGGCCTAGGCTGAGATTTCACTATATCCTGTGAACTTCCCCCTGGTACTGCAGCCTAGGCACCAATAAGCTTCATCCAAGTCTTTTATTGCCTGCTTGTGGTATTTATCATGAGTACAGCAGGCTCATGTAGTCTCTGGCCATTGCAGACAATGGCCAGAGACTACAGAGAGAGATGTCTGAGAAGAAATGCATAGAGCTGAGGATATGAAGAACTGCGAAGGCAAGACATCGTGGGGTGCTGAAGCAAAGTGCTGTGTAAAGCTAAAACTGCAGAGGAAATGCAGATCCTGGCTGCTGGAAGAGACCCAGAAAGCCACCCAGAGTTACTCTCTCTGGCTGCCTAACAGCTGTAACACTAACAACCGACAGTTCTGACACCCTAAGCTCAGAGCTATAAGGGCGCTAGGTCACTGGCACTTAAAACCCAAAGTAGTAACACAAAGAGCAGAGAGGCCCAATATCCTAAACTCAGAGTTGCTGGCACTAAGGGAACTGCACTTTGCCTATTTACGATTTCCATCCAAACAGAGTAAAATAATCCTAAATTTAATTCAGTAATAAAATAGAGCAATTACAACAATATACTATAATAAATGTTAAGAAAAATATGGTCAGTCTCTCATAACACCCTACTGTACTGTACTTACTCTTCTTGTGATGATAAGACGATACTTAAAGGAAGCACTTTACAGCTTCTCTCTGGCATATCCAAATTGCCAGCATGAATGCACTTGTGCTTTGAGGCCATTAAGCAAAATAAGGGTTACTTGAACACAAGCACAGAACAGTGAGCAGTGCAAAACTATTGCTGGAATTCAATTTAAATATTAAGTTGAATAACGATTGTAGTTCCTGATCTGGCTTCATTTCCTATCATTTTTAAAGGACTAATAAATGTGATGGTAACAAGAATAGATATAAATAAAGCTGGGCGCAGAGGCTCATACCTGTAATCTTGGCTACTCAGGAGGTAGAAATGAAGAGGATAACAGTTCAAGGCCAGTCCATGCAAAAAGTTCACGAGACCCCATCTCAACTACTAAAAGCTGGACAAGGTGGCATGCATCTGTCATCTCAGCCATATGAGAGAAGTAAACTGAAGAATAAGGGTTAGGCCCTGAGTTCAAACCCCAATACCACAAAAAAAAAAAAAAAAAGGCAAATGTGACAATCACCAGGAAGGACTGATAGGACTTAGTGACAGAAAATATAGTGACAAAGGAGAAGGTAGATAGCAAAATGCCTGCAAGTTTTGCACTTGGGATTTAAAGCATAAAGGTTAAATGATAGTGATATTTTGAGATGAAAATATCCATGAAGTAATTAAGAATACAGGACTAAAGTTCAACCTGGCACACCTTCTTCAAGACAATTGTGACCCCAAGAACAAAAATGAGCAAATAAAGCAGAATACTAAGTCAGGGAGAAAATATAAAGCAATGAAAAATCAAAGGAAATTTTTTAAAGAACAGATAACCAATACTGTCAAGTATTTCAAAGAAGTCAAGTAGACTTATGAGTAGGGAAGAACATCTGGATAGGGTAACTAAGGTAACATGAGAGGTCTTGGGTATCCTCATACACAGTTAGTCAGTGAAAGGGAGGGAATTCACCATTATGAATCCTGTTTCAAGATTAAGCTCTCACTATTTCAGTCTCTAACACCAAGCCTTCAAACACAGATTTCTACATGCCTCTGTTACTATCATGACCACCTGGATCTTGATCCTTCTTAAACTGACTACATTTTTCACAACTCCCATTTAAATAATGAGGAGAGATAAGAACAGACTCCTTGATTTGCCCTGAATACATTCCATTTCAAGTATACATTTCAAGTATCTGTCTTGATACTTTCTTGTGCACTATTTTCATTGCTTAGAATGTTCTGCATGTGACTATACAAATCCTACCCCATCTTTAAGACCTTTTAAGTAAAGTCTGATCACTCCTTAAAGCTTTTCCTTATGACTTCTAAATATATCAGTTCATGACAGTTTGTCTCATACAATATGAAACAATAGGTACTTGCTGGTTTTTCATCTGTTATTAGTTGTGCCCCTTAAAGGAGATGGTAGATTTCTCCCTGGCAAAGTTGTATATGGCCTTGTGCATCTCTTATAATAAAGAAACAAGCTATATAATAAAAATCTGCCAAGTCTGATGACTTGGTCAAATATTCAGGTTCTGTGATTTCCTGCAGCAATTGATCTACTATTTTGTTTTAAAAAAAAGTCACAACTGTGTAACAGAAATTATGATCTTTAATATCAATTTTTCCATTGTTTCTTTCAGTAATAAAGGCCTCAAATTATTAACTAGAAACATAGCTGTCCACAGAGAGAAACAAATACTGCATTTCTCAGCCTCCCCTACAACAAACTATGGCCACATACTAAGCTCTGGTCAAAACATGTGAGCAGAAATTATGTGATTATTTATCACCAAACTGAGCCTATGTTCCCCTGGTCTCTTCTTCTTTCCCATTAGCTAGGAGACAAGGAAAAAAAAAAAAACCAAAAAACAAAACAAAACAAAAAAAACCTGCTACCTTGGACCACAATACAAAAGCCCCAGGTTGAAGATGGCAAAGCTATACCTCCAGACTAATATGAAAGAAAAATAATCTGTACTGCTTAAACCACAGTATTTGAGGTGTGTGTAGAGGGTGGGGGGAGTATTTTATTACAGCAGCTAATCCTAATCTAGATAATTCAATGTGAATTACAATTACATGTTGGTAGTAGCAAACAGAGCATACATGAGATTTAATAGTCTCTCATTTTATAGCCAAAATCCTAAGAGGATTTAAAGAATAACGAAACATACTTTCATCAAACTTAAGTATTCTAGATTCAATTTAAATGACCAATTGTATATTAGGTGTCTATTCTGATAAAGGTATTAAATAAAGAAGACAAAGCACAAGTTATGCCTTCCAAAGAGGATCAAGTCTAGTAAGTCAGACAATGGCTTATTTAAGCCATTAAAGCTACATCATTTAAGAGTAAATGATGTAGTACAAGAGTGAATGATATGGAAACAAAGAATGGGAAAAAAATGAATGCTGACATCAGGTAAACCACAGACAAGATACAAATACATGCTAGGTAAATGAGCAATGTCCTTCCCATCTTGAAGAGTTTGAGCTGTTATACTGTATGGCCAAAAAAAATACAATATTGAAGTGCCTTACTGATTAGTTTCTTTACTTTAAATACTGTTTTAATTTAAGTCCTGATGCACATATGCACCTACAATTTGTATAATACCAAGTGATTAATAACTTTCAAGTAGAAATGAAAGACAGTTTTATGGTATGGAAACTATAGAAAACAGAAAAACAAGGTTTACTCAATTATAAATTATATGTCTAAATAAGGTAAAAATGTGTTTAAAAATTGAACATGAAGTCTACTGAGATTTCAA